CCAATTCAAGGATATACATGCAAGGAAGTGTCAAGATACCATGTTTCCACAGATATGAAACATGATACATCGGCAGGAACAGAGGCCTGCATGATGTACTAAACTTGACCTTGCGTAAATATCTGAGTGCTCCCTTTTGTAGCATAAAATTTCTACTGAAATTATGTAGAAAACAGCTACCCCGAAAGGCAATACCGTATCTCAAATTAGATTCAATCAGGGCCACATAAACACTTTTTGCAATCATGAAATCTAAATGGTGAGCAACTGATTTGACCGCAAAGCAACCCGATGATATCTTTTTGTTTAAACATACAATGTGTTGCTCAAATTTAAGTTTATTATAAATACAGAGACCTAAAAATGTGTTTACAGTGTCAGAACAAATGCCTTCATTGCACAGAGTAATGTTGCTTAGATCATTCTTAAAAGAAATTAAGTGGGTTTTTAAAAAATTAAATGTCAATTGATTAGCTTTGCACCACTCTAAGATTTTTAGCATATCACTACTAATAATCATGTTCAGTATCTTAGAGCCCTTGATTTGCCATAAAATTGTTGTATCATCTGCAAATATAGTAGTAAACCGGCCATTAATGTCGAGGTTGGTTATATTGTTAAAATATACCAAGAACAAGATAGGACCCAAGACAGAGTCTTGAGGTACATCATCATCATCATTTTGGCTTTACAACCCTATGTGGGTCCTAGCCTCCCCAAGAATTCTCTTCCAGTCGTCCCTATCCATCGCCTTCCTCTGCCAAGCATGTATTTCAATATTTCTCATATCTTGGTCTATGTTATCTAGGAATCTTGTTCTGGGTCTTCCTCTTTTTCTTTGACCAATAGGTCTATCAAGGAGCGTTTTTCTAGCTGGGTCGGTTTGCTCTATCCGCATTACATGGCCTACCCACCTCAGACGTCCTATCTTAATGTGTTTTACGATATCTGGTTCCTGGTATATTCTATATATGGAGTTCAAAGTTGTATCGTCTTCTCCAGACACCATTTTCATTTACCGCTCCATAGATTCGCCTCAGTATTTTGAGCCTTGAGGTACTCCACAATTAATAAAGATATTACTAGAGTATCTATATCTTTCCAGTTTATTAAGAATTATTTTGTGATTGACTCAGTCAAAGGCTTTAGATAGATCACAGAAAACTGCGGCAGCAACATAATCGTTATTTAATTCCAAGTATAGTTTTTCCATGAATTGGAAGACAGCATCATATTATGTATTTTTTAATGACTGGAAACCGAATTGGAAGGAAGAAAGTAAATTGTGTTTTTGTAAGAAAGTCATCATTCAGATTTTTACCAATTTTTCTACAACCTTTGAAAGGGACAGTAACAAGGAGATAGGACAATGATTAGCAGGTACATTGTGGTCACCACCTTTCTACAGAGGAATAACCTTAGCACATTTTAAACAATCGTTAACGTGACCTGTTGAAAAAGATGTGTTAATTGCCTCTAAATTTCCGCTAAAATTCTCAGAACTTTAGATGAGATATCATCCCAGCCTGCAGCCAAAATTTCTTACTTTTTGATTTAAGAACTCTCTTTTGAAATGCTAAATTGAAAATCTTCATGAGAGTGTGACGAAATTGATGAAGCAAATCAGGAATGAAAAAAATATTATTCCAATCTTCCTGATTACATAATTTGATAAACCTGTCAAAATTACTTTTGCTGAAAATCCTACTTCATCTGGCTGTATAAGGCGCTTAAGGAAAAATTCACATAAAATGGGATCACTATCTAATGAAAAATAGGGAATCACTCTGCACACAGCTGGATCTGGATGTAGATTAGTACAAATATAATCCAATATGCTGTTATCTCTGATTGAAATGGTAACCAGCATTGTCATATCAAAACTATTAAGTAAATTTGTAATATTAATAACATGGCTGTGTGATGAATCCAGATAATCAATATTAAAGTCACCTGTCAAGATAATAAAAGCATTTTGTGAAATTTTTTCAAGCAAGGGATCCAATCTTTGAAAGAATAACTGAAGACTTAGGGGGTCTATACACAACAATGTCAAAGAATATCCTGGCTTAAGAACTTAAGGGAATGGTTTGAATGCAGTAGTGCAGAACTTTTTAGAGCTGCAGTCAACAGAGTACGCATAGCCATGATGATTTCCAACCTTCGATAGAAGATGGAACTTAAAGAAGAAGAACACAACAATGAGAAGAGTATTAAGTTTCTTAATAAAAGTAATAGAAAATTCAAATTCACATTCAATACAGAGGTGGTTAAATTTGTTGTAGTGAACAAAATTGAATTTATAATGAAACATTGTAATAATTAATATTAACATGCCTCGATGGATGCTTTCAGATTTGCAAAATTTAGATATTATGGAGTAATTGTTAATGCAAAGTGTTTCCAGAGGATATAACCAGTGCTTAGTTAAAAGCACAGGATCTGGCCAATAATTTTCACTAAGAAATACTCCCAGTTCTTCAACTTTATCGCGTACAGAACATATGTTGTATAAAATAATAGAAAATTTATTAACAATACTAGATTTAGATATACTGGTATCCAGTTTATCATCTACCACACTTACAATATTATTTATGTATCATGTACAATATTATGTATCATATACTATTATGTACAATATTATTCAGGTATCAGATATCAAAGGCCAGGGCACATAGCTCTAAAATAGCACCCAGGGTTTTGTGTTAACAGTCTTATATATGATGTGTGGTGCACTCGAAGACCCTTTTTTACAATTCAGATGCCTTTAGGAATTAATATCCACTGTGTTGGTTATAATATAAGAGTATGTTGTATTAATATCAGTTTTTTTAGTTTTTCGCTTTGTTTTTTAATATCCCATTTCCAATAACCATTTAATGTTGCTCTTTATAAAATATTACAATGAAAATGACTTAATAAGCTCTCAGTCTTGTATATTCACATCTACCACCAAAACAACTTGTTTCTTTAAATATACATTTAGTATAACAGAGATGCAAAAAACTATTAACTCTCATTTTCATTGATTACTTAAACAATAACAATTATTTCTGCCATTTTCAGGCTAACTAAACATAAAATAAAACAAAAACTAACTGCTTAACAACTCACCATTACCTTCACCTTGACTGTCCAAAGAGTCCTCATCATCATCACTCACTTCTGGATGATCTTCAATTCTAAAATCACTATCATCAGAACTTTCTTCATCAAAGTCTAAAACACATGCTTGTTCTCCTGGATCTACAGGCTTAACTTTTCGCTTGTTAGGGTCCCTTTCAACTACATAAACATATTTTTAATTAGAGAAGTCTATTTATTTTAAAGACAAGATTTTTTTGTTGTGATCATCTTTATTAAAATTTTATAAGTTAACATAATATTTTTGTGCTCTTCATGAGAGAAAATTTACTTCATATTTATTAAAAATAAAATTAATTTATATGTATAAAAATTTCAATAAAAAAAAACTAAATCAAACAGTTATACATATAATATGCTGTGAATATTACACTGTAATTATTTAAAATTTATAAAATTAATCTTGTAATTTGACAGATAGAGTTGTAATTTTTTTATGATTTTTGACCTCTTTAAATTTGAAAGTATACAAATAAATATGCAGTTACACTTATCATAAAAATGTAGCTTAAAATAACTTACTCGTATTCATTTTAATAATGAAATAATAACGCTACAATTTTTTAAAATTGAAAAGTTAATGACATATTGAAAACATAACCTATACTTCCGGGCGTCAGCTTGCGCCGTCACAATAACTGTTAAATTATTTTTGTCAAACGCTGAAGAAAAAGATAGCTATATTTTTCATGAAACATGAGTCTCGTAAGGCATTTTTTCGCACCTAGAAAAAATAAAAGGAATCGTATTTTCATTACCATTATCTTTGATTTTATCCATATCACACAATCCATATGTTGAATCCTCTAATTTATGTTGATTTAAGTTTCTGTGACATTGTTTATTATTCTGTGCCAATATATATTTCCTTTACAGACATGCCTTGCCTAAGCGACTCTCACCAGGTTATTTTGGTCTTTATTTCCTATTTAGAATTATCATTCTAGCTTTACAACCCTATTTTGTCTTAGCCTCCTCAATAATTTTCCCCAAATCTTACGTATCCACGCCTTCCTCCGAAAAGCACGTACTTCCCATGTTTCTCATTTTCATATCTCTTTCGATGTTATGAAAGAATCATATTTTGGGTCTTTTCTACCCCAAGACGATTATGTCATCTAGATAAACTAGGCATGTTTTCCAAGATAACCCTCCCAACACATTTTCCATAAGCCTCTCAAATGTCGCAGGAGCATTCCAGAGTCAAAATGGCATAACGTTAAATTGCCATAATCAGATCCTCTGGTGAGGCTGTCTTTTCTTTATCTACCGGGTCCATTTCTACCTGCCAGTATCCAGACTTCAAATCCAAAGTAGAAAATAATTTACTTCCAGCCAATGTGTCCAATGTATCATCGATCCGAGGCAAAGGATAACTATCTTTCTTGGTAACGTTGTTTAGCAAACGGTAATCCACACAGAACCTTATTCTTCCGTCTTTCTTCTTAACCGGGACCACCGGAGAGACCCATGGGCTCGTAGAAGGTTCTATCACCCCGTTTTTCTTCATTTCCTCAACATTTTCCTGAACAATTGTTTCAGCTTCCTCTCTTTTCTGTGGTAATCGTTGAGCTGTTTGACGGATTGGCTTAGCATTACCAGTATCAATTTTATGCTTAACAACGGTAGTTCTTTCCGTCTTTCCTCCTTTCGGTACGAAAATATCACGATACTGCCGAAGAAATTCCCTTAATTTCCTTTTCTCAATCTGATTCAGAGACTGTCCAGCAACTGCAACTATTTGGTCAAATTTGTCGTTGGAATTATCAGACGTTGTCGTCTGACGGATTATGCATGTCACAGGTACACAAGTTCCTACTTTTGTATCTTTCTTGATGGTCACTGGGTAGTCATTGACATCGATAAGCCTCACAGGAATTTCTTTAGCCGAAGTCACCAATTCTTTTCCAATTATGATTCCACGGCCGACTTCGTCGTCATGGTTCCAAGGCTCCATCATAACAGGTGTCCCTTCGTCCACAATTCCCTGTAGGCGCGCTACTATTATCGTTTCACTTCTCGCAGGCACGACTGTATCTTCCTTAACGGCTGGTTGCATAGTGTTGTCATCATGTGGATGGAGAAATACCTCCTCGTTACCAACTTTGATTACGTTATTCTTCAAATCTAATTGAAATCCATGCGTATTCATTACGTCCATTCCTAATATAACATCCTCTTCGATGTCAGCAACTATAACAGTATGGACGAACTTTTCTGCTCCAATTCCTAATTGTACCTGGATTTCTCCATGAATGTTGGCATTTTCACCTGTGGCGGTCCGAAGTTGCAACTTCGTTGGTAACAGTTTCTTTCGACCGTTTATAACTGTCGGGCGTATAATGCTTCTGGTCGATCGGGTATCCACCAACAACGTATGCTTTTACCATTTATTTCTCCATCTACATATACACTATCTTCACGACATTTCAAAGAAGCTATTAGTATGAGAGGGTCTTTGGAAAAGTTCTGCGTCGAAGCTGCCCCCCTAAGGCCGACCCGTTCTAGTCTTCCTGATGGTGAGTTTCTTGATTTGCGTCGTACCTAGGATGCTTACAAGAACTTCGTACGTGTCCTATTTCGCCACAATTCCAGCATCTTATGGTCTTCGTTTTCTTGTATGACATGCTTTTCATCATATTAACGGGCTGGCATTCTGATTGTTTATTATTCTGTGCCGTTGCCACAGAATAATAAACAATCAGTATGCCCACTCTGCTGGAAAAATAAGAATACGCATCTCGTTCGAGCAGACGGAATCAGTCATGTTTTAAACGGAACCAGTGCTGTTCAGTGACGTTTTATCTGGTGTGCATAGACAAATTAACCCGGTTTAATTGATTTACGGCAACTACAGACATAATATGCTATTTTATTCATATTGTTAGCTGAAGAATAGATTATATAAATTATTTTAAATGTACTAAATTATTATTCTCTAAAAATTTAAATTACAGTTCTCTCGTAGCTTGTTACAAATTTCTCAATTCGAGTCTATGTTTCCGTCTAAAACATGGCGTTCGCGTGTTGACAAACTTCAAAGGCGGCATCTGAGAGTGGGCATTCTGAATGTTTATTATTCTGTGCCGCTACGTTGTTCCTTTTCATAATAATAATTGATTAAAAAAATTGATTTGCTAAATTGTGGCAGTTTATTTATTTATTATTTTTTGTTTGTTTTTTTTTTAACTAGACTCTATTTGATATTTTTTATATTAATTATCCGGCAAAAGTATAGAGAAAGTGCTGATGAATTTGGCATAAACGTCATGTCAAATTTGTGTTTGCGGTATTGCCATGTCGTTATTATGTATATGTTTTATGCCTCAATTATGCTTTGAAACAGTTCATTTTTATTACCCGATTTTTATTTTATAAAGACAGTTTTACATTATGCTATTTTCATGCTAGGCAAGAGCCATGCAAGACAGATCATGGAACTGCGCATGCCCACGGGCTATTTCCATGCAATTCCTGTGCTAGACGAAAAATTAGAACATGTTCTATTTTTCATGCAATTTTCTTGCAATTTATCGTTAAAATTCATGTTGCCAACATAACAATTTATAATAGATTACAGAATAAAACATAACCTTATCTCTATCTTTAGCGTCCCTTAACCCACATGTGTATTGTTGTGTTTTGATTTAAATTAAGTTTATTAAGTGGTGATAAAAAGATATACTATGTCTAAGTTAATGTAAAAACGACTGGGTGAGTCGTTGACTATGGATGATTGTTGCTACAACAGCAATATTCAACAATAACAATGTTTTCTTTTCTTTGGTTGACATCCTTCACCCTTTTAATAACCATAAATAGTATATTTATTTATTATATTATTTATTTTAGTACTTAATTATATTTTTATTTAAAATAAAATAACCTCAAATTGATAAATATTTTCTCTGTTGGCAACAATGAAAGTGGGATCTAAAATTGCACCAGAAATATCTCTGATGTAAAAAGGTCAAGCTAGGCAAGAGATGTGCCATGCAAGCATCGAGCAAAAAGACAATAGAGGGAATGTAAAGGTAGTGGGGGCAAACATATTGTTAGACAGGAAGTGCGATTTTTAGAGACCACATTAAACAAGGAAAGAGAGTCTTTCTCCTTGTTTGACATCAAATTTAGTTGGGTTATGTTATTGTTTGTCCCAAATGTCACATGAAATCTTATTTATATTGAAGTTTTTTAACAATTGTGTCGCATTTTAGAGTCTTATCATTAATAATTAATTAAAACTTTCTCGTCTAAGACACATTCTGAAAAATATTATATAGCTACTGTTGACAAGTGTCGGAAAATTTAAATTTCGCGCATTCGCATTTCCGTATATGTCCGCCATCAGAGGCCACTTTTTTGGTCTCCTTTTCATAAGGATTAGATTCCCTCTTTTGTCTTATTGCTCGATGCATGCAAGACGGACTTGCATAGCATGAGACTTGCATAGCCTAGATCATCGAGCAAAAAGATAAAAGAGGGAATGTAAAGGTAGTGGGGACAAAAATATTGTTAGACAGGAAGTGCTATCTTGAGAGGCCACTTTAAACAAGGATAGACAGTCTCTTTCCTTGTTTAATAAGTCAAATTTAGTTTGGTTATGTTATTGTTTGTCCGGTTTGTCCCAACTGTCACATGAAATTTTATTTATATTGAAGTTTTTTACCAATTGTGTCACTTTTTAGACTATTATCGTTAATATTTAATTAAAAGTTTCTTGTCTGAAAAATATTTTACAGCTATTGTTAACAAGTGTTGAAAAATTTAAATTTAGCGCCTTTGCATTTCCGGATATGCCCGCCATCAGAGGCCACATTTTTGGTCTCCTTTTCATAACGATTAGATTCCCTCTTTTATCTTTTTGCTCGATGGCCTAGATGTAAAGCTGCCTTAAAATCGGGTATTTTAAAAAAAAAATTGAGTTCATATGAAACACGAACGAATGAATATTTGTTTCTTTTGATATTAGTTGCAGTTAGTTATTAGAAAAAAAATTATAATTGGCCTTTGGTAGATTAGTAAATAAACTTGGCAATAGTGTCAAAAGTAGTTGCCAGATTGCAACAGATGTTTAGCAGATTTCAATTTTATGAATATTTTCTTATAATTTTGAGATGAAATGGTATCTGAATAAAAGCATAAAAAATTAAAGTTAATTTAAATTATAATAAGTTAAATTTAAATTAATTAAACTTCTTTTAAAAGATTAACAAGAATGTTTAGTAACATGCTTTATCGTATACATAATTTATGCTCTTTCGTGATTTATTTGTGATATATATGGCAATACCGCAAACACAAATTTGACATGACGTTTATGCCAACTTCATCAGCACTTTCTCTATACTTCTGCCAATTATCCATTTACCTGTTTGTTTACAAATTGTCTGTTCGAAAAAATTGTCTGACATTACTTTAGATGATAAAGTCAGGAATTTTTGTGTTGTATGTTTCCATTAATGAATCTGTCAAAATATTCTCAATTTGAACGAACGGACTCTGCGAACGGTGCTTTGTTGCTGTGCTGCTGTCAAAATCAAAATATAACCAAAAGTCCAAAATATAAGCAAAGAATATAGACGAATAAGCGTCTATATTCTTTGATATAAGTCTATAATAACTATATCATATAACGATATAACCTAAATAAAGTGCTCAAATTCAAATGATAACAGAAAGCAGAGTATATAATATCGGCAAAAGTATAGACGTAATATCATATACTGTGAGTGATAGTTTGTATTATAAAAGAATCCCAATAAGTTTTTATCCTATTCCAGGAAAGTTTTGTAGATGAAATGAACACAGTGAGGCCCTGTGGTTGTAAGGGACTTAGATCGTGTTGTATTTGTGAAAAGGAATACAAAATAGTGAAATCCAATTTGATAAATCTTGAAAATGGAAAATACATTTATTGTTACATCTGCAATAAAGCATGGCCAGGATGGAGACCTGAAGATAATTCGCATGGAAATCATACAGGTGAGCCCATAGAATACCCAGGAATATTTATAAAACCAAATTTTTTGTCAAAACAAGAAGAAAATGATTTGTTAGTGGCACTTGATTCTATGCCTTGGGATCTCTCACAAAGTGGTAGAAGGAAGCAAAATTTTGGCCCGAAGTGTAACTTTAAGAAGAAAAGAATAAGGATTGGTGACTTTCAAGGTTTTCCGATAAAAACTCAATTTGTTCAAACTAAATTCAAGGATGTACCTATAATGAAAGACTTCCAAACAATAGAGCAGTGCTCTCTGGAATATACTCCTGAAAGGGGAGCTTCTATAGATCCTCATATAGATGACTGTTGGATATGGGGTGAAAGGATAGTTACTGTTAATCTTCTTTCAGATTCCATTCTTACTATGACATATAATGATAAGCCAAGTAGATATAATTTGGATTGTGTTAAAACATATCCCTCAATTTTAACACAAAAAGGTTTTTTCAATACCACTAATAGCAGCTATGTTATTATGCCATTAAATGAAAATGAGAAACATCCTGTTGTAAGAATACCAATGCCAAGAGGATCACTACTTATTATGTATAGTTCTGCTAGGTATGATTGGGAACATCAAGTATTGAGAGAAGATATTATAAGTCGTAGAGTGTGCTTGGCCTACAGAGAGTTTACTCCACCCTATTTAGAAGCAGGAAAAAAATTTGAAGAAGGAAAGTTCATTTTAGAAAAGGCTAAAAACTTTTATTAACAACTGTGATATCAAATAAATGTTATACAAACATATTTATATTTCTTTCAATTTTAAAATCAATTTATGTGATTTATGTATACATTTAACCCTCTAACTGCTATAATCGCCTGTAGATGGTGTTCACTTTTGTCTAGTTGAATCTACAATTGGAACAGTTATATATTGATATATTTATGTTTGAACACTGCCTGGAGTTCTGTTTACCAGTGACAAGAAATTACTTGCTGCAATTTTTGAGAAATGGATGTAGAAATCATTGCAATCTGATGAGCATTTTCATATAACAGAAAAAGTGGTTACCAATCTGTATATTTTACTGAAAAATGTGTTACAGTGAGTATGTAATAATATCTATTTTTGATATATATTACTAGTTTTAGAAAAATAAATAAGCTACGATCATTTTTGGGATTATGGTCATAATGTTTATTTCAACTTTTTTGGGAAGGTATTATTAAAGCAATTTTTTTGTTTAGTTTTTGTAGATAAATATCGCCTGACATATTACAGTAAATAAGTATGGATTGTCAATATATAAAATAAAAAAAATTAAATTACAGAGATGGTGTTAAACAAAACTGCAATTCCATTTACGCTAATGCAATAATTGCAAAATTATGTAAATAATATATGTTTATGATCGAAAAAAAATGGTTTAAGCTTAATCCAACTAAATGTTCTTATAATTCATTTGGTCATATAAATAATCATAGCTAATAGATATGTTCTTAATGGTGTACTCTTTTGGATTCAGTTACTGATATTAGAGATTTGGGTGTGTTATTGGATCATGCATTGATATTTAGAAGCCATTTTCTTAAAATTAAGGTAACAGGTTTTCTTAATCTTGGTTTCATTTATTTTAACAGTCATGATCTTTTACCTATTGCATTCAAATTATTGTACTGCTCTCTGGTATGCTCAGGTCTTAAATACTGCCTGTTGTTTGGTCCTCATTTCATCATGTCAACATTGATGGATTGGAGAGTGTTCAGTGGAAATTTCTAAGATCTTTAGCTTTTAAAGCACTTATTAATACAAGAAATACTGAAAATTCATTTTCATCATCATCTTGGTGCTACAGCCGTTAGAGGGCCTCGGCCTTCTCAAACTTTCTATGCCATTCTGTTCTGTTCCTTGCTTGCATTTTCCAGTTGCCCACTCCGATCTTCTCGGCATCTTGTGTTACCCCGTCCATCCACCTCAGCTTTGGCCTACCCCGTCTTCTCATTCCACGGGTTGAGCTGTTGAATCTTTTTTATCATGTTCGATTTAGAGGCCCGGGCTACATGTCCTGTCCACTGCAGGCGGTTTCGCTTAATTATAGTGGTAATATCTTTACCACCAAATGTATGCTTGTAGATATTCTGCAGTTCAAAGTTATATCTACGCCTCCATTTTCCGTTCTCACAGACCGCTCCGAATATCTTGCATATCACCTTTCTTTCAAAAATAGGTAGAGCGGATTCATCTGTTTTAGTTAGCGTCTATGCCTCTGATCCATATGTGAGAACGAGGACTATCAGTGTTCTATACAACCTTATACGAGTTTTTTGAGACAGACCTTTGTTAGCTAAGTACCTATCTTGATAGACCATGATAACATCTGTTTGCAATTATTATTCACCTTTTTATTTCCTCAGATGTGTTATTATTGGGGTTAACCGATCCTAGATATGTGAACTCTTTGAATGCTTCGAAGTTTTGGTCATTGATGATTAAATCTGCGTCAATATTTCCAGTTCTTGTGTTTCTGTTAGTCGCCATGAATTTGGTTTTATTTTGATTTATATGTAACCCCATTCATTCTGCTGCTGCTACTAGCTCGGTTAGGATTTCCGCAGTTCTCTCCCTGATTCTTGTTATGTCCACGTCGTCTGCATATGCTAGAATTTGGGCTGATTTATTAAATATTGTTCCCCTGGTACCTAAATTAGCGTCTCGTACAACTTTTTCTAAGGCGACATTAAAAAGCTGACACGCCAGCTCATCTCCCTGCCTTAACCCCCTATGTATTTCAAATGGGGTTGACGAGTCGTTTTGAATTTTTACTGCTGATAGCATCTTCGCCATTGTCACTTATCAAACATATGAGTTATTTTTGGAATTCCTAACTCATTAATAGCGTTGTAAAGACTTGGTCTCAAGACACTGTCATATGCCGCTTTAAAATCGACAAACATATGACACATCTTATATACTAAAAAGCTAAGCCCTTTTCTTGTACGCAATACTCCTCCTAAACGGTGATAGATAGGAGAATAATTTTTTCGAATAATTAAACAGATTGTTGAGTAGATTCCCCCTAAGGTTTCAAATTTAAAAAATTCGAACCGGTTTAAAAATGGCGGCCATAAAATGAATTTTTCCTATAGTAAAGTATAGGAATTTTACAGGTTTCATTCTTCAAAATTTACAGTCCTAATTTTCAATGTATTTTTAAAATATGACCGCGTCTACTTTTTTCTTATACTTACTGATTGAATTCAGAATTATGAAACCGGAAGTATTTACTTCCCTATTTCCGGATTTAGTTTTGAAAATTATGGTTTCTTTCACGGTGTTCCAGAGCATATGAATATTTTTTATTTAAGATGGGCGGAGTCTAACAATCATATTGTTTCCGTTTCCTAATGTAAATCTTCCTGAAAATCCTAAAAAACTACTGTATCGATTTTCAATTTAAAAAAACTGGCGTCGATACAGTTTATTTTTAGGATTTTTGGAACATTTACACCAGGCGACGGAACCGATGGATCGTTAGACTCAGCCCCTCTTAAATATCAGCAAAACTTACATCAAAACTCGAGTTGGTCTGCTAGTATCTATATTAAACTCTTGCGCTTTTTCGAGGATCTGTCGTAGTGTAAAGATCTGGTCAATGGTTGAACGTCCACGCCTGAATCCTGCCTGATATTCTCCTAGAAACGTTTCGGTATAAGGCTTCAATCTCTCGTGCAAAATGTTTGACAATATCTTGTATGCTGTATTTAGGAGAGTTATTGCGCGGTGGCTCTACCCATCGTAACAGGATATCTTCTTTGTTGATATTGTTCTGAAGCTATTTTCTTGTGGCATTGTAAATTAATTACTGTTAAACTGGGAATAAGCCACAATTAAAGATAAAAATACGTTTATTGACGTTTCAATTTCCACTTCGGAAATTGTTCTCAAAATACAAACAGTAAATTAAACAAAATTTTGTGTTTTGTTACATAGTGAAAAATTCTTCTAATAATTTAATTTTATCTGACTCATTTATATTGACAATTCAGACATACATTATGCATTTTAAAGTAGACGACTTTAAAATGATATTGCCAATATTGTTGAGTTGCGCTTCTGGGACGACTTTACTTATAAGATAAGTAGTTCATTCGATTACATGAAATCAACTTTAACTTGAGAATATCCGTCAGAAAAAAATCATAGCATGTAATTCGTCTTTAAAAAGACAAACACATGACATGATGACAGTAAAATTCTCCTGTTAGTGATTCCATAGTAAATTATGAGGGAAAAACCAGGAAAAAACCTCATAATACTATCCCGACATTGTAAGTATTTGTTCGTGAATTTGAACAAGAAATCAAACCCATCATCAAATAATTTTTCACATAAAAACTAATCAAACTCGTCTAGTTATGTTCCATCAAATAAATTAATAACAAATTATTCCCAAAAACTAAATCTTTCCAAACTCCGATAAGTATTTGAACACCAAATATAATTGAATAATATAGACGAAATAAATAGTTCTGAAGATAATGACATTTTTTTAGAGCAACCTGTTCCAAAAGTGGCGGAAAATATTTTAAGAGTTCCATTTTTCAGTAAAAATTTTTTGTACTGTACCTAATTGCTACTAAAATATTTCAAAGCAAAAATCCTATGAAATTAAATTCTTGCATATTTAAATTTCATGGCTGTTTCGATTGTCTATTAGGATTAAACAATCTTAAGAAACTTAATGCCAAAATAAAATTATAAATAATGTTTTAATTACAAAAATAGTCAAATTAAAATTTTTTATCGTAACATTAACGAGAAAAGCAAGTGCCTCTTAGATATGAACAAATAATAATTTCGGTAGACATAAAAAATATCAATAGTGGTGATATAATAATCCCATATACCAAAATTTGAAAACTTAGAAATGCCACAATGTTTAGCAAAAGTTCAAAAGAATACAGCCACTTGCAGTATTTCCAATATTAAAACAGTTAACGATATTCCTATTTACTCGAAGTCCTATAGATATCCTGAAATCTATAGAAAAGATTCAAAGTATGCTGAACCCAAATTAATATTACCCGTGCTTCAGACTCACCGTGGTCATCCTCAATTTGGGTAAATAATGCCAAAAAAATTGGACAACTTCCAGGTACCTAAATATAGGATCGTAGTTAACTACAGAAAATTAAACGAAATTATTTTAGATCAGTATTCTCTACCTAATATTTCCGATTTACTTGACAAACTAGGTCGTTGTCAGTATTTCACAACTTTAGATCTTGCTTCAGGATTTCATCAAATAGAAGTTACAGCATGTTCAAAATTTCCTTAAATTATTCCCCTCAGAAAATGACTTACACGCCACCTATGGTATATACTTTGCTAGGAACCTTAAAAATAACTCATAAGCAAATAGCGATTTGTCATGTCTTTTTCTTGTGTTGTACTATTGTATATGGGTATTATCATATCCTTATTATATTGGAACGAAAAAGACAAAAGAAAACAATACAGGAAAAGAACAAGAACATCAAAACATAAAGACAATAAAATTTAACTTCCTGAAGGGGCGGCTTCATTCTAAGGGGAACGAAGTTATAGGGAATGGCCGGCATTGTATGTACAATGTTATAGGAGATTACCCAGGCGTATACTATTTCAGCATATCAGTGGTTTAGCTAGAATTGCATTTCTTTTAATTTTTGTTGTAAGACATTCGCACCCATTCTAGCGAATTGCATTGAGGAATACAGTAACATCTCAAAATTTGTAAATATGAATTTATCATGCCATTAAACTCGAGTTTGTGAGTAAATTATCTGCGAAAGACTGAGACAATATTGCCTCAACGGTAGACCGGGTGATAACGATTGTTTCACTTTTGCCATTGTGGGGAAAG